TGGCAAGATAATATAATTTGTCAAAGCAATATAATTTATCAAAGTAATATAATTTGACAAAGTCAAAAAATATATATTTAATGCAAAAAATAAATTATTTATTTTATTGTCAAAATATTAACTTCTTCAAAATAAGATTTAAAAAAAAAATGTATTATTTATATGCTAAATAAATTATATACCACTTTATAGCTAAAGATAAAAGTTATATAAATTTGATTGATTGTCAAATTATATATTTTTTAACAAATTATTGATGAGTGGCATTATGTCAAATAAATCAATTTTGACTAGTATGATTTTGTTTTACAAGTTTGAAATTATAATAAATAAAATATAATATAATAATTATTTGTTTTTTTTAAAAAAAAAAAGTTATATACTGTATTTAAGAATATAAATAATTTTTTAATATATATATACTTTAAATAAAAAATATTAACAGTATATATTTAATAAATAATTTATATTCAATTATATAATTACAAGATCCATTTAAGTTAATTTGTATTTTACTTATAAATTTATATAATTATATTAACTTTAAATTATTATAGAAATGAACTTATATATTAAATAAGATTTTTAAGAAATAAAAAGTTTATTATTAATTTTAAATTATTTAGATTCAATTTTAATTATATGATTATAAAAAGTCTTTGTCTTATAGGAATTAATAATATTTTTTATCTTAAATTTTGAAAAAATAATATAGTTGTTCTTATTACTTATAGTTTTAAAAAATAGTTAATTTAATAATTTTATAAGCAAATATCAGATTAGAATAATTTAAATTAAATTTTTTTTTAATTTTTAAAGTTTAATAGATTTATTTTAATCAATAAGATATTTGTCAGATTTCAATTAAAAATATTTTTTTATACAATTCTTTCTTTTTACAATTTAATTATTTCAATTGTTAATTAATAAAAGATCAAAAATCTTATTTTTATATGATCAAAAGTCATATATAAAATTTGTATATTAAAAGTTATAAAAAATTTTAATTTATCACAAATCTTATAATGGTGAATTATAAAAAAATATCTATTTATGGATAAATTATTTATTATATAAAATAGACTTGAAATAATTATTTAAATTTAAAATTTCTTAAAGGTTATTTTTTTAACTCAATTTTGTTTTTATTTGATAGATTACTATATTAGAATAAATGTAAATCAATTATTTTTCTATTGTATATTATAATTATTTTATAAACAAATAAATATAAAATCAGAATAAAAAAAAACAGTATTTAATTATAGATTTGCTTACCAATAATTCTTTTTGAATTTTCTATTCTTATTTTTATAATTTTCTTGATTAATGTTTTGAATTCTAGATATTAATTTACTTGATCACATTTGTAATATGAAACATATAACATTTTTATTTATCGAATTTGACATCGAATTTAATATCTATTTTGATTTTTGATTTTTTCTATCCGTCAAATTAATATTTAATTGAATGGTATTGTTAAGAAACTTAAAAATTTACAATATAATATACTGCATAAAGCAAAAAAAAATTTTTTTTAATGTATTATATATGCTGTACATATTTCATAAACACCTATTTTTATTAATTGAAATGATCACAGATAATCAATTAATTAATTCAAATGTGATAGGTACCTTACTATTTAATTATCTCAATGATGATGATCTATTGGAATCTGATATTTATTGTATCTACAGAATCTGGGCAATGGCAATGAACTTTTTTTTTTTAAAAAAATATAATAGATAAGCAATTTAGCCATTTATGTCCATTTATTTGTCAAGTAAGATAAATAATCTGGTATCCTGTTGACAATTAAACTATATATGTACAGAATGTAATGATATATGGTGTGCAGTGTACAGTGTATTCTATTGTTATTTGTTTTTTTTTTTTAAAAAAAATAATCAATGAAGAACTATTTTATTTACCTTTTGAAAGAAACGTCGGCCAGTCATGGATGAATTGCATTGGGCAGTCCCTTACATAAGGTTCGCAATGTGTCGCATTTCGTGAATCACGGCACCTAATTGGGATGAGACGGAAAATTTGGATCATGGTCCATCGCATTTCATGAATCACAATCTAGGCAAGTCGAAATACGTACATGCTGTTGTTTCGCTTGTGGCACATTATGCACATTTGAGTTGGCAATGGTATAAGACGCTTGCCCAGTCCTCAAGTGCGAGAAGGACCTGCATATAAATAGAGATGTAAATGGCGTTACTGTGTAGTGACACACGATCCCGACACGATCGCGCAAGTCAGTGTGATACCCGGCACACGCAGCTAGTTATATGAGGTGTTGATTGAATATTTATTATGTCGTCAACTTGAATCTTCTTTGGAAGGATCATGTGTTTTACCTGAGGGTTAAAGCGTATTGAATTTGTCGCCCAGCTACCAATTTGTTAGGGGAATACGTGAGACAATGTTTATTGTTTATCTGTTTTTATTGGCGGAGATGTGAATAAACGACACATTTGAGACACACATAAATAATCACACAAGCATTAAATTATACTAGCGCCTCGGTGATCCGAGGGAGGGCACTAACGGTATGACATGTTGAACAAAAATTGTCGGACATTACTGCACCATTGAGACTTATCCTGGTGACTTCTCGAAAGGAAGCATCTACTGTATAATATATTGGATTAATGAATATCACAATAAACAAAATACACCAATCATCGATTGAACACCACATACCATCTTTGATTTTGCATTGTGTTTTTTTAAAGTTAATAATGCACCAAAATAACATAAATTAATGCACCTCTTTTTTTTTTTTCTTGTGCATATACGCAACGTCGATCCCCGGTGCACACTCGCAGAAACTTTAAACAGTTCGTGCATGCAATATTGTACAGTCAGTGCACTAGTAACAACATTTGGGCCAATTTCACTATTCGTGTGACGCTTACGAACGGGGGACGACCCCCACTACCCTGAAACCAGCTAACCAAATTGAGTGATGTACAAATTACGTGATGACCTACTCTTTTTTTTTCTTTGTGATTTATTTACTTTCACGTTTTTTCAATTCAATACCTCGTGCCAAATATCCCGAATAACCACATATATACCTTGCACTTGTAAAAATACTTTCGTCAAATGCGCCAAATGAAAATTTCATTGGTGTATGACAAATAGATAATTATTGATGAGGACTTTTTTTAAAATTCATTAGTGTTTCGATTTACATTTGCTGGTATCACATATCCTATTATTAACGGGCTGATGCATCATCTGGTAACCTTAGATTAACGATGTGATAAGGCAACATTCACCCATTAAAATTTCCAAGACGGGTATAACTTAAGCGGGAAACCGAATGGAGATGATGAACTTTTGAAACCGAAACGATGTTTAATTATAGTAAGGGGATCGAACGGCATTGAACGGCGTTTGGGGAGTGATCTTAAAAAGAAAAGAAGGAAAGCACAAGTGTGAGTATGATGTCGATTTTTAGGAAATATGACATCAACTGAATCGCCAAAGGAAAAGCGAAGGAACACCATTGATCACATTAAAAGGGAAGAGGGGACCTCTCACCGTAACGCATTTCTCTGTGAAATGACGACTCGAACAAAAAAAGATGGTTATGACCTTAATTCGTGTTCTGGTCACTCTTCCATATAAAATTTCACAGATATCATCCCTACGCGCATCTATTGGACTTCAGTTCCAAGTTGCGCAACAATATATTTTTACTTTAATACAATCAATTGCCAAAGCTCTAATATAGGGGGAATAGATAAAAAAAAAAAAAAAGGTAAAAAGTGACCATGATTTACGCCCAAGCGCAATGGCGATTACGGAAAGCTCTGAAGTTTCAAGTTAGCGAATCGTTCCATGAATGCCGAATATTAAAAGGTTAAGGTTTTTGTATATTTAGGAATTTTGTGTCGTAAGTTTGAATGAAAGGCACCAATCAACGGTCTAATGAGATTTATATATTTAGATGACTTTCTTATACAGAAAAGAATTCTTGCTGCCACATTGGACACAACATCCCTGAAAGAGAAGTGAAGTGGGACGTGTTTATTAGAAATAACGCGGTGATTGTGTCACGTGACAATCAATATTCATTTCCATATAGAAAGTTGATGCTAAGGATTGCCACCTCATAGACGAATTGAAACTTAACATATACAGTATGTGCTGAAAAGTCAGCATGTACAAGAGACACATAAGGAAAAGTGAAAGTATTAAAAAAGTAGAATAGACCTTTGGAAGTTAAGAGGTATCTTGCCGACCATCCGGGGACCCATGCATAAATCAGTTTGCTGAATTCAGAACTCGTACTAATCTAATGAGTGATGGATTTCCTTTTCGGTGTTACGTTGTCACGTTGTACGCGTTCATTGACTCTTTACCAATTTGAATATAAAGTTCACCTTGGGTATCAAAGAAAGGAGATTTTCTATTTATTGTGATGCACCCCATAGACCTGAGAATTGCATCCATCCTCCGGACGAAAGGGCGTACGCAGTTCTCTCCTCACGTGGCCCTCATGCGTGGGGTGGGTGAGTGGTTAGCGCTTATGGAACATTAGACCCGTACACCAAGATGCATTTTCCTATGGAAGGCATCTTACCCTGAGCGACTGTTCGTGTGAGAAAGAAACGTACCATTTACGGCAAATACCTGTGCGCACAACGTGTCCACGGAACATCCTCTCAACCTCATTGCCGAACGTCCTTTCCTTCTCAATGTCCTTATCTGACGGATTTGGATCGTTCGTGAGTTTAAAATTTACTGACATTTAATATGACCACAATGCAATAAAACACTTGATATGTTTTATTTGTCATAGTTACATCAGGATGCATTGTTTTATTTATTTATTTATTTATGCCATCAGCGTTAATAATGTGTGGCGAATTCTAAGCCATCAATGTCACTCCAAGTAAATTTGTAGATCCGTTACAAAAAAATCATTATTCATGCACGTCAAAAATGTAGCTGACCTGGCCATTGGAGATTCTTTAAAAAAAAAAGGTATTCATTAGAATAAGCCTTTATACCATTGTTGTTCATACATTGTCCACTGTACATTATATGGCGCTCTGAAGATCTTTAGGTTTTTTTTTTCCATGAGCGGTGGGCCAACGACCACTCGCATCTTCGCGGAAGTGTCATGCAAAGAAGAAAAAAAATAGAATGCAATCACACCTCTTGATATGTAGTGCTTGCGTACGTACGCAAATCACACAATCATAATAAAGCCGACATTGCATGATAGTTCAATCTGGAAATAATAGAGCGAGATTTATTTGGAAGTCGCCCACGTAGGGTCCCATGCAAGATTATTGCGCTCAAATTATAAATGCAGTTCGTATGTCCATGATAAAGAAGAATGATCTACCAACCTAACCATAATCTTCTTTCCACTATGAATGAAGTCATTAATCAATTTTCGTGCATAAAGAGTTAATTTGATTTTTTCCCTGGGATTTCAATTCTCACGTTGTACGCATGTGCATTGTGGGTATCGACACAATACGTTCCACGTGATCCGAACACAAGATGTTCACCGAGGCGAGAAAGCCACCGTTAAACTTCTTCCTAAAGGTGTTGTTTTGATGAGATCATTTTCCATGAAGAAGAAGGATACCTGACTATGGTGACGTTGGGGCGGGGGTACTCCAGACTCGCACAATTCATCTTGACCTAGGAATTCTTTCCGAATTTTATTATTATTATTTATTATTATTTTATTTACCGTATCCGGTATATTACTTGGTGAAAAATTTGCAGTTTATGTTCTTTGTGCGATTACAATGACGTAATATATATAATAATAATAATAATAATAAATAATAAATACAATAATAAAAAATTTTTATGGTTATTGCACAGTGAAGATTAGACAATGTTTTTTTTTTTAAAGTTGTTTGTTTTAAAAGTTGTGTGAAACAATGGACAAATAATTAACCAAATACATTTACCCACTTTTTATTACCCTATTACTTCACCTTCTACTAACATGCATTTACCCACTTTTATATTACCTTGTCACTTCTACAGTACAACACGAACGAACGACTCGTGATTACCCATGAAAAATAAAAATAACCTACACATTAATCACCGTCACGTCATGTGCCCGAGATTATCATTTTTCAATTTTGCCACCCGAGCACGCATTTCGTACGGCCGAGAATGCTTGGTTACTGGATTGTACCCTTGGATTAAGTAACGGTTCCATACTTGCGAGCCATGTGCAATGGTTTATTTAACCCCTTTGACTGACGGGATCTCATTTATCCAAAAACAGTATACCGATATTACGAGAAGTGTACGAGTTTCTGAAGTCACGAAATTGTTCTATTATCTCGTATGGTTCCTTGGTTTGATGCACAGGGGTGTCGGTCACAGGCGCAGATGTGGTTCACCTGAGCTGGTCATGCGAATTCCGAATTGAATATCATTAAAAAAAAAAAGGTTACGTTTCAACTGGGAACTTTTGTTTTGCGCGTGTACCCACACAGAAGGAAGAGTGCCTTTTTCTTCCCAATTAATTAAAGGGTTTTATTATTATTATTTTTTTTTTTTGACACCGTCGACAATGATCCCCATTTTTTTCTGCAAGGACATCCAAAAATGGAAAAATCATTAACCAATGAACAACCCGTCACGACACTTTGATGTCAGAGATGTTTAAGAATTTCAAAAAAAAAATAAAATGTACGACACAATAATTTAGCCCTTAAATGTTACTCAATCGTAGTAAAATTCCCAAGCCCAACTTACAATTTAAGCGAATTCTGCGCTGTATGTTCTCAATCGTTGAGAATGCGACAGATTAGGCCTGCGGAACCTATTCAATCTTTTCTTGACGAAATGTCAATATCAAATGATTCGGGTCGGGCACATTGCCATGAATCTCCTTGGGAGATCACGACAGGTTTTTTTTTTTTAAAAAAAAAAAATTCTTTTATTTGATTGCCACGTGTAATTTTTTTTTTTTTTTGTTAATTTTTTATATGCAGAAACTATTTGTGGTCACATGAAACGAGAATTCACATATTATTAATGAAAAACATTTTGCATTGGGGTCACTCTTAAAACCGGTTTAAACTTAAATTTAAGTTTTTACGCTTGGGTACTAAAAAAAAAAAAAAACACGATCACTAGTCATTTCACATGCTTTTTATATAATTTTTTTTTTTTCCCTTCGCACACAAATTTGATAGGTAAACAAACGATCAAGTTACATAAAAATCTTTTTTTCAGTTTAATATGGAAAATTTCCAATTTTCTCTTAAATGGACGCACAGCGTCCGAGTACTGTTCCATATGATGCATATGGATACATATGCTGCTGCCTATCAACTTGTCATCGGAATTCCCAGTTACTCAAAAAAAAAAAAATGTCGTAAAGAACAAATTCACATGTAAAAGTGATCGCGTTTAATTCTCGGGCATTTTCGATCGAACGTTTTAATTTTAATCTAATTTCTTTTTTAATTTCCTTTTTTTTTTGCGTAGGTGAATACATGCATTCGTAGAACACTACTTCACGTGACCTTAAATTCAAGATAACGAATTTACGCTTCCAACAACGTGGCATGTGCGTGCATTCTTCAGCGCGGTCTGGACTGCCTCCACTTGTCACTCTCTTTTTGACTGCAGGTCATGTTGGAAGCAATGTTTACTCACGATGCACTATACGCATGGCAATCTGCCTCCCGGCGCTCGAAACGATAATCCCGGTCTCCAGATCTCAAAAAGGCTTATCGTTGTTTTAACGCTAATAACTACTTACCTTTATGGATAAACCCTACATCCGCGACGATCTTCACGCGATCGGAAAACATCGGGCGCTCCATGGAATATACTGTATATTTATTTGCCGCCTGCGGGTTAGTTTGCGTTTTCCGTCCGTCCGTCATATTGCGATTTAAGCTAAAATGAATCGATTCTTTCGATCTCTTGGCTCAGACGCACAAGGGTTCGGTGACCTGGTACACGCAGGTGTGACACGAAATAACACTTATCTTTCTTTTTGAACTCACATACATTGCAGTAATGAAAAAACAAAAAAAAACGATTGATTTTTCTTTTTTTTATAAATGAAGGTTACATTTCATTTACATGTTTTTTATTTTTAAGATCGCTAGTTTTTTTTTTCATCGATCGTGAGAATATGCTAAAGCAAGCTTATTATTGTATAAACATAAATTTTGGCATAGCTATTAGAAAACAAGATTAAAACCGAATAGCGGAAACGTGTCCCCATTCAGTCTTTCATTATAACTAATTTTTTTAAAGTGTTTAATCGGGAAACCAAATTAAGTCGACTAAGAGGAAAAAAAAATTAAGAGATTAAAGTTTTTTTAAAAAACGCGTTGTGTTTGTGATGATATTAATTACGATTGAAAAAAAAAAAAAAGAGAAGATTATATAATTGAGAAGAAAAAAAATGTACAAAGAAAAAATATGTATAATGTTTGTTCGATCATTCATAATTAGAAAAGGGATTCTTCTTTCGAACCAGTCGAAGCAAGAATTCTCTTTCAGCGATAGATTGTGCGCGTATGAGAAAATTGCACCAAAGAAGTAGAAGAAAAATTAAAGATCCCATCACCCAAGCTCGCACACGAGAAAAAAAAAATTTAACCAGAAAAAAGGAAAAAAATTAAACCATCTATTTACAAAAAAATTACAATTAATATCTGATCCAAAACATAATAAATTTTTTTTTTCTTTTTTTTTTTTTTTTTTGACATGATTCCCTGGATCTTACATTTCACATGACAAACCTCTGCACAAGAAGAACATATGTTTGGATGAAATTCAAATGCCGCTGGTGACAGCCGATTGATACCCAAAAGTTGGCTGAGGTTGTGTGGGAAGATGGTGGCGATGATGGGTGAATGGAGTGGTTAGGATAGGTGCGGGTAGCCTGTTATTGAATGAACCGTTGCCATTGGAGGTGCCACTGCCGCCACCACCACCACCGTTGTTGCTGCTGCTGTTGTTGTTATTGTTGGTATTGGTGGTGGTGGTAGTGGTGGTAGTGGTAGTGGTGGTTGAGTGATATGATGATTGTGAAAATGAAGAGGCAAAATTGGGAAGCCGTTCGTTACTAACAGCGGAGGACTGCGAATAACCGGGCGTGTTATTCGATGGTGACTGGCCGAACGGTGGCAACGGTGCTGTCATTGACAAGGGTGGAGGGAGTGATGATGGAGAGGATGACACGATGTTTGCAGCTCCCGAGCTCATCACGTGTCCATTGGAACGATAATAGTCTCCGTCAGATGGGGGCGAGGATTGTTGTGTGAAATAAGAGCTCGACCCGTTGATAGCTGAAGAGGGAGGATTGACGCTTTCGCTGCTGCTGTTCATCTGAGAACCATGTGAAAAATAGTCGCCGCGGTGATGAAGATGATATGGTGTGTCCAAAGGAGAGTCGGGAATCGACCTTTGGCCTAGGTCTTCGTCATCGGATGAAGATAGGCTGGAATTACTCGATCTTCGAGAGGGTAATTTTCCGTTGACCATCTCACTGTCAGCTTGATCTTCCTCGTCCTTGTTTGGCGATGATGAGGTGGCACGCGTCTTGCTGCGCCAGCTTTGCCTCTTATTTTGGAACCATATTTGAACCGTCCTCGGTGACATGCCCAATTGTTTGCCCAACTGAATTCTCTGCTCGGTTGAGGGGAAGAAGGTTTGCTGGAACACCTCGTTCAACACCTTTAACTGATTGGGGTTGGCACGCTTGCGTTTCGCCTTGACCATGGCGCCAACGTTCGGATTCGAGTGATCCATGTAGGACGAACCCATGTGATGGTGATGGTGGTGGTGGTGAGATGGATGCATGTGATGCGGTGAGGCGGGCTGTGAAAAAGGCATTGACATCATGCCGCTCGGAGAGTGGGAAACGGAATTCGGACTGGGATAGCCGTGGTAGAAGGGCGAATATGATCGAGGCTGTTGAGAGAAGGAGGGAGCACCAGGGACAGGGTAATTCCTTCCGTTGTTGTTGTCCCTGTCGAAATAACCACCGGGATACGAAGAACCATTCCCAGCATTATACGCGTGATCAGAGATTGCCTGACCGGAATTACAGGGAGCACCGAATCCCGACAGATCCGAATGACGCCTTTGATCGAGGGGCAGCACACGCTGGGGGTAGGGATTTAGGGTCGAGGGCGTGTACGGAGTGTAGCGTGTCTGGGTCACGTCGAATGAGGATCTACGTACCAAGGGATGTTGATGTTGAAATTGAACCGAGGTCAACGGAGAACCCGGGGGATGCGTGACACTCGAAGATTCATGTGGATGGGGATGAGGCGGCGAGGTCGACTGTTGTTGAAGACGCGAAGTGATCTCCGCGTGAGAGACGCTTGGGGAGCTGGAGCGGTAAACCTCGGAAATTGCGGCGAACTGTTCAAGCGAAGACTTTCGAGAATCCAGATTCCCGTGGTCATTATTGGACAACTCGGATCTCAAGTCCGGCAGGGAAGTGAAACTCCTGATCGGGGGTAATATTACTGGCCTGACAGAGGAATGATCATGATTTTGACGAACTTTTTTCCAAGATGATTCACTAGCGTTCTGTCTCTCCAAGTCATGATTGATGGCCAGACGGGCAGAGGTGGCGGCGGGTATGTTGATACTATTTCTGCTGCTGTTGTTATTGATATTTTCGCTGTTGCTACCACGGTTACCGTTGTTCGGAGAGAGCGGAGGAGAGGTCGCGGGCGTCGAAGAGTCTTCTCTACCCCTATGAAATGAGCTCGGCGAACCCAACGATTCGGTGTCACCCGGTTGACTCGCGGTGGTGGACACATCATCCAAACTGCTGTATGAGCCGTCTTCCTGCGAGGACTCTGGCAATTCACAGAGTAGACTAGAGATATCCAATACGGAGGACTTTCTTCGTGGCAATGAGGAAACGAGGTGGCGATGGTTGGTGACGGAAGGTTGCTTACCGTTCGTGTTGTTGTTGTTGTTGTTGTTGTTGTTGTAACTGTCATCATCGTCGACCACCATCATCATAGTTCCGTTGACACATTCAGAATGAATGTGATGGCGCTGCTGCTGCTGTCTTTGATCGTGCGAAGTATGAATTAACTGTCGTCGAAAAGTTCTGTGTTGGTGTAATTTAACGTTAGACATTGAATCCATGGAAACATTAATATCATCGATGCTGTTCTGTGAAAGCAGTTGGCTGGGCATCGTGGTGGTTGTCGTCGTGGTGTCCGAGTTGTTGCAGTGAATACTTGGACCCGTTGAGATTGAGACCATGGAAAGAATGTATCTTAATTAGAGGGAAAAAGAAGAACCAAGAGGAAAAAAGAAAAAGTAGTATCCAACAAGTTGGGTAGGTGATTTCACGTACACGAGGAAAACAAAAAAGGAAACCACACTTAGTTAAGAAAGAAAAAAAAGAGAAAAGAGAACGATTGAAAGTAGGCGGAAACGTTGAGAAAAAAAAGAATGGACGGTGTTTCGCGAAGGCAAATTTTTTTTTATAGTTAACATATAAAAAAAATTAGAGTTGAAGTAACCCAAAGGTTGGACAGTTGGAACTTTTAACCTAAAAATATATATATATATATATTTTTTTTTTTTTTTTTTTTGAGGCAAAGAAATGGATGTGAGATAGAAAAAGGAACGGTAGGGTATTTATATGTAAAATGTCAAGCGAGTGTATATGTGAGTAAAGTAAAAAGTTTAAAAAAAGGTCAATATGAGAAATAAAGTGCAATATAGATCGGTAAATAATGTGTGTAGTTTAATGAGGTGTGTAAATCCAATAAAAAAAAAAAAAAAAAAAAAATTTTTTTTTAAGAAGAGAAAAAAAAAATACTTAATATTTAAAATAAAATGAAGTCGAAAATGAGTTTGTGTACAACAAATAAACGGTGTAAATAGCCGTTCGCAATGGTGGTGATATAATTAAATTAGAATTGCAATTTATGTACGTAACTAACACTCTAACGTCGAAATGGATGTTTCAGGGCCCAGTCGAGAAAATAAAGTAAAATAATAAAAAAAGAGGGTGTCCAAGCATGCAGGCAGGTTTTGAATCGGAGGACCTCGTTAAATTTTAGGGTGCACAGGAGATGAGGTATAAATATAGAAGATAATAAGGATACGCCGAGTATTAAGTGATTAGTATAATATATGTGGTTAGAAGTAGAGATGAACGAATTGTAGACGAGAGTCGTCGGGATGTGCGAAAAGGATGCGGAACATGAAAGAAACAAACAACAAAAAAAATAAAATAAAATAAAATAAAAGGCGAAATAACAAGGACGCTGATGATTATTTTGTATCGAAGGGAAAGGTGAACGACCAAAAAAAAAACAAAAAAAAAAAAAATCAAGGAGGAAGGAATACTTTTTAACGATTTAAGAGAAAACCCCAAAACCACGAGTAACCCTTTTACTAAATAAAAAAGGAGAGAGATGATTGGTGATTCGACGGAGAGATGACTTGGTTCATGCAAAGTACAGAAGGAAATAATAATTAATAAGTAAAAAATTATTATTACTATTATATTATTATTATTATTATTATTATTTATTTTTATTTTATTATTATTATTATTACTGTTATTATTATTATTATTATTATTATTATTAATCTTTCCTTTAAGTGATTATACGAGGTTAAAAAAAAAGGGTGATAACCGGAACTAGAGATGAACTTGGGTTTGTTGCTTTTTGAGGTGGTGATAAAGAGCAAGACGGCAAGGACAACGAGTATTAATAATGTGGATGGATAATGCGAGAAAAGATTAAAGGAAGAATCAAGTAGTGAATCAGAACGCACGTTAAAATACAAGTGATGAGCGCAAATGATGCATGGAAGATAAATAACAGATAAATAATGACGATAATAATAATAATAATAGTGGTAATAATAAATTGGAGAATAATTTAATTAAAACGAAACAGCATTATGTGCTTAGAAGGGAAAGGAGAATTAACGATTGATGAAATTAAAACCCAAGTATTGCATGAACATTACAGATAAAATGATGATGATGAATGTGAGAGAAAAGGTGATGCATAGAGAGAGCAATCAATGACGCGTAAAGTTAAAGGATTTAAATGAAAAAAAGGAAAATAAGAGGATAAGAGGAAGAGGAGGAGGTGATGATGGTGGTCGTGGCGGTGGTGGTCGTGGTGGCGGCGGTGGTGGTGGTTGTGGTGATGACGATGATGACGGTGTGCGAAAGGAGGTGATGCAACCAACGAGAGAGTGTCAGGCGATATTTACGATTGAACCGATAAATGATGGACAATGAGTAGAAACATGCGGAAGGAGGTAAACAAGGAAAAAACAATCGGATTTACCATGAACCGTGATTTGTCTTCCCCTTCTTGCGCGGCAAGACCCAGAGAGGATAATGGTCGACGACATTTTCATTAGCAAATATTGATAAACAAACCATTAAGGCCATTAACAAACACAAACGCATAATGTCCGGTGAAATACGTGGTGAGTGGTGGTGGTGGTGGTTGATTAATGGTCGGTTAATGGTAGGCAAATTTGGTATGCATAAAATTAAACTGTTATTACAGGTAACACTCAACAGAAAGGAAGGAGAACACACATTACATACAATACATAATATGAACACTTATGAAACACGGTTTGTCCACTATATACAGTATAGGATGAAATGGATGAGCGACATTTCATCATTCCGTTAAAGTGGGTTGTTGAACCGAATACACATTGATCGGTAAATTTGTAATTGAAAGGAAAAAAGCGTAAAGAGAAAAAACATATGATGAATGGTTGTATTAGAAGAATTAAATGACAGAGTGACACAGAGTCACATTAATCGTATTAAGTGGGTGTAAATATAGTGAATCGGTGGTGGAAATTGATGACCCGATTTTTTGATTTCTTTTCTCTTAAAGGTTAATGTAAGGGACTTTAAAAAAATGAATCGACCGATTTTTATCATATAATTTATGTAATCACAGCATGTATCATTTTAGTTGATAATGATGGTGACGATGGCGAAAGTTAAGGTTGTGTATGTGTCTCATACACGAACAAGATTAAATAAAGGTAATGCACATACTGTATAAGAGAGGGAACGATTAAAGTGCGTTTAAACTGTAGTTTAAGTGAAGCAGCATTTACATATCACTATGACACAATGAAGAAAAATTAATTATCATATAACGTAATTATGATTGCAGATTGCTAGAATTGGACGATTCGGTTTCATCATATTTAGTGTGCACATAGTTTCAAAGCATAGGATTAGGATTTCTAACTAACGTACACAGTATATACAGTATATATAGTATATACGGTACGTACAGTACACACACACAGCTAGCCGTATATTTTCTTGTAGGTTGTAATTCACAAATTCACATCATTTAGGCTATCTATTACGTACGTCCACATCAAAATTACATTACGCATATGAATGCTTTATGGGTGCCAATGGCACTATGGTGACCCTAAGGAATCTATTTTTTCTTCTTACGTGCCGTAATTAAATGACAATAATGATAACGATAATAAATAACAATAATAAATTGTTTATATAACTTTATCGGACGTTTACCACAAACAGTAAAAAGATTTACGTTTTTTTTTTTGTTTATATTCCGGAACGTGCTCTTTTAAAACAACAAACCTTGCGACGGTATAGCGGTAAAGCATCGGCATCGGGGTAACCGAGGTGGGATTACCCGATTACCCGATTACCCGATTACCTCGATTCTCTTTTATGAACGAACAGACAGTTCGATGTTGACAAAGAAACACGAATTGAATTTATTTGTGCACACTCGTGGGTGCGTAACATTGGGTGCGCGGATTGGAGGTGCAAACAGGGTTTGGAAATTAAAAGTATTATGTGCAACGGAAACTTTGTTTTATTTGTTGATGTCATTTTATTGAATGACTTCTTTTTCGGTCCGTGTCATCACGCAATTTTAATAGTAAATCAATTATAATTTCCCCCGTCAAATCACCTTATCACAATAAGAGTATCGAGGAAAGGAACATGGAAACACGCAAACATGAAAGCATGAATCACACTTCCCTATTTTAACAATTGACCACGTTGTTCGCAAATCAATTAATTCCTTCTGAAGATCAATGGACGTCTTCGGTTTGCTTTTCTCACTCACTCACTTGCTTGCAGAATGCGAGCTGAGCGACAAATTTTAACAATAATAATAATAACACACACCAACCATCCCATAATGATGATGATACTAACAATATATGTGTGCAGAATATGGAAATTCCAACACGTTAATTAATTCCTAATTTGTCTGTACACCACATTTCTTTAATTAATCAAATTTCTGCATTCACGGGCACAGCAAACAAACATTTTTTTTTCATCTTCTCGGCAACGTGAGACGATTTTGATTTTTAGCACCAAAAAAAAATCGAAATTTCCTAAATGTACAGCAGCCACTTGCACGCATCCACTCATCGTCAGTCTCTTGTTTCGTTAATTATCACGATTGCGAACGATTCCTTCATCACCCTCCGACATCTTTAACTCATTGGTGAGGAGTGTCGACTCAAAAATGGAAATGATAATGACGGAGAGGAGAAGGATGTCGGACATCAACAGCGTGGACCATACAGCGCACCATATAAGTTCTCACAATAAACCACGAGAAACCACGTTCACCTTCACCACATGTATTAATTTTGTTGTCGTTATTGTTAATCCCACTTTTAAATAGATTATCGCTAGTGCCGTGTAGATTATTTGACAAATGTTCCTGGATGCGGAAAACACAATTGGAAGTCGGTTTCTGATTGTTTCAAGCGTTCGGCAAATTCACTCTGATTCGATTGTCATCACAAACAAGCCAAATGTATCGATTCCGTCACCATACCGTTATACAACATAACAATAATGGTAGGATAAGGGGTTTTTTTTTCTAATAAAGGCCCGGGTGTAATGTGATGGGATAATATAATGGACCCACTGGTTTCCCCGACTCCTAAGCTAATCCCGTCTGTGGTGATTCATATCTATTAATGCGGTTTAAATGAGTGTGTGATGCCAACATTAAGGTTAATTAACTATTATTTAGTGATCCAGAATTGATTAAAAAAGGAGTAAATATTAATGTATTAATTAATATTAAAAACGGGTGCTTAAAAAAAAAAGGGGGGGTGCCTGTAATTAATAATGTCTGATAACGCGAGTCAGGTGGCATATTAAAAATTAAAATTAAATTGTCGTACGTCAGGCAGAAATTAATCTCGTTACATGTGTGCATGAGTGTGTGGTGTCTGACCGATTCCACCGAGTCTGTAGAGGTACACGTGTTTAGTCCACCGAAGGTATTGCCTCGAGAATTAGTGAGACTGCACAATCGGACCGCCTAGCTCCACTCGTACGTAGAAAGAAAGAAAGAATACGATCGATAACATCCAACTGACAGATCGTCAGTTGTATCCATCCATCCATCATCCATCATCCCGCGTATTACATTAAATTAATGTAACCTTACCTCTTCTATTAACATACATACGTAAGTGTACAGCTAGCTATCGATGTGATTACTAATATGCTTTTTTGACATTTGCAGCAACCGCTAAGAATGCGAACTACGCGTAGCACCGCCTCCTTCACATTTCCCTGCGCGGGAGATACTGCGATCCTTGATATGCGCTCCCACCGTAAAAGCTTACCAAAGTGTACGTACACATTCGACATATGGTTATGACGTATTCGTCGAAAGTGTTCATCTCACGGAAACTCCGTGTCCGTCATTCTCGAAGAAGGCAAACGAGAAAAATTAGTTCGGCCGAACAATGACATTCAATGTTAATCAAGTACTGCATCGTATGATGGCAATTCGTAATTACTGACCATTACACAGGGAAAATTGGGTTGGCACACCACCTTGAAATGGGTTAAATGAGAATATCACTCGTAATAATTGCATCTATTTTTTTTTTTTCTGTGATCTGGACCGGCGCGTTATCCTTTCCAAGGTAGGTGCGACCAGAATCTACGACACCAAGAATTAAGTAATTAAGTGAAAACCCCTTAAATTTTTTTTTTTTTTTTTTTTTTTTTTTTTTTTAAAAAACAAAATTAACATATTCGGTTGACTCCTTTTTGACAACCAAAACCACTGTAAACGCATATATACTGCATGCACATACGTATGCAGTCTATTTTTCATGAGAAGAAAAAATATACAGCATTTTATCGCTTGAATTCCACTGTGCGGTATTATGTCATTAAGGATTTAAACAACAATGTTCATCTTCCTATTCTCGCTCTCATTAAAATATAAAAATAGGTTTTTAGAAAAAGAATAGAAAAGCACGAAAAATATTAAATCACCCCAAGGTAACATTGTGAATGAACGATTGACACAGAGTCTTGGAATATTTGAGTGTTGGTTTAAAAAAAAAAGAATCAATTAAAACTTCCTAGTTGCATATTTGCATATTTGCATCGGATTTGTACTTATCAAAACAATTAATGTAATAACCTTTTAATAAAATGACAATAATGATAACAAATGAATATCTAGTAAACAATTACGGCATATCTCATACTGTAATGGCATATGCTTTTTTTGATTTATAACAAAAAGTGTCAAAATCATTAAAATATATATACTGTATATACTGTATATATCAAAAATACATCAAATGACTGAGAAAACAAATACACAGTCCTCTCGAATATTTATTACATACTAATCTAATGGTATGTTTTTGGTTTTAAGATAAATAAATGATTTAATTTCCGAGTTTTCTTTTTACAAGACTCTTGTTTTAAAAAGATACGGTACGTACTGTATACAGTATGTGTGATCTAGTTAACCCGATTGTGATATTATGATAAGTAATTTACAGTATATTAATAATTTAAGAATTTAACTTGACTTTATAAAAACTTGATGTTTGATTAAACTGGTTATTAATGTTATAAAAAAAAATTTTTGACAAAAAAAAAATTAGAATCATTAAAGATTTAAAAAAGAAATTGCGAAAAGAATATGATTACTTATTGACAGAATATATTGTTTAATTGACTTTAAATATAAAAAACTTTAACTGAGATTAAATAAAAATTACGTTATATATTAACTTAATTATATAAAATAAAAATTCTTTTTATTTGTTTTTTAATTATATCTATTTTGTTAACGATTTTTCTTTTAATCTTTTTTATTTAAAAAATATATTTTGTATTTTTTATTATAAGTAAATTCTAATTTAAAAACTTAAAAATTTTTAAATAACTAATATAGTGAAATAAAATATTTTGATTAAAATTTATTTAAGTTTATCATTTTTATTCATCTTTTAATTATATAATAATTTAAATTATAAAAAACATTTATAAATAATTTTTTTTTTTTTTGATTTTATATTTAAAAAAAACTTTTTTAATAATAAAAATAGTTAAGTTATATTTTTACTTATAGTTTAAAACCATATTTTTATTTTATCACTTTTTATTTTTATTATATCATATATCAATATTATTATATTTACCAAATTAAATATTTTTCAAAAAACATATGTAAACAAAATTTTTAAATTTATCATTTATCTTAATACAACTTTTATAAATAAATTTATTATAATAATATTTGTTATATTATTTCAAAATTTTTAAAATTTTTACTTGGTCAAAAAATCAAGAACAATTTATTCTCTTTAAATAATTATTATTTTCTAATTATTCAATTAAATTTTATTAAAATATTAAAATAAAATTAAACCTGTTTAAATTAATTTTTCAATATAACAATATTAACAAGATTAAGTATTATAACAATAAATAATATCAATTATACTTTATTTTTTTTTCAATAACTGGCATTCACTTTGTTTATTAGATATAAATTTATGGTACATGTATTATTCCCTTTATAGGAATTAACTACTACCTATCTATCTAATAAAACTACCTAAAGAAAATTCTTGTATCTTTACTTACCAGTTGGTTTATTGCCTTTCATTCTTCAATATTATCAACACTGGGGTTCTGATAATATAGGTAATGAGCTAATATATCAGAATATATATCTTCTAATCCTATCCACTATTTGATAAATAGAAACTCAAAGAACCATATCCTAATAAGATCAGTTACAAACTAGCTATATTCGACAAAGAGTCTTTTGTGACTTTAACTAGATCTCTTAAAAAGTTGGAGTTTTCTTTTATAATCTTGTGGACTTAAGAATAAAGATAGGTTCCTAAATTAAAAGCAAAGACATAATTCAAATATCCCTTACTATTAAAAAAATTTTTTTAAATATAATATCAAAAAAAACCTATTTATAAAAGTTTTTTGCAATTTAGGCTACTTGATCCAAGTGTTTTTTGAATTATGTCCTTATTAAAGTAATGAATAAATAATAATATCTCTTTAAAAGAACATAATTAATCTGCAAAATTTTATATGTTAAATAATTTAGAAATCTATCCTTATTTAAGAAATAAGAAAGCATGTTCTATGCATGAGAATCAAAGAAAGTACCAAACTTAACAATAATCATTGTAATATTGCCAGACAATTATTATATCACTACACCTTTTTCTTGATATTACAATTCTAACGCCTATTAAATCAATGTGTGAATTGGCTTCTTATAAAAAACAGTACATATTAAATTATAACATCAAATATTATATTGAAATAGTTCAATTGTCTTTACCTTAAATTGAACTTGATATTTTATAATAGTGATTAAAAGATACTAATTCTTTCTACTTTGGTTTTTTTAAAAGTTTCATGTTAGCTCCCTGAAGAATCTGAATCAGTATCTTATAATCTGATCTGTAAAACATTAACTATTATACTATAAATCTACTCAATTATACTTTATTATTTATATTAACAAAAATATTATTATTAAATCACAAGAAACAAATATCTTAATTTTTATTAAACCTAATATTTTTTTAATATTATGTTATTACTTGAACATTAATATAGATAATTAATTATATACTTGTATTGATTACAGAAATAGTCTCTTCAAACAAAACATTCAAAAAAACTATTTGTGATGAACTTACCTGTAAGCTATTATATTTATTAGACAAAAATAAATCTATTGATCGATTATGCAAACAAGTAACTGAGTATGTTTTTCAATGATTGTTTTTCATATTGTATTTTCCTGTCTACACATGCTATAATAAAAAGGTATTATACTAGCAAGTCATTGATACTTGTCAAGACTATAACCAGTGGACAACCCTGGTTTGATATAAGACAGTAGATTTGATAAAGTAACAATACTTTGACATCGATCAAATTTTCCTACCAAGACTGTAATCAGTGGAAAATCCTGGTTTGATATAAAATGGTTCAATATTATGCCTATTTTACTTCCATGCTTGTTATCAATTATTAAATGAGTTGAGATTGTGACCAGTGGGTAACCCTGGTTTGATGTAGAACTTGTCAAGTCAATATACTTGAAAATAGTTATTGTCACTTGCTTGGTTGAGACTGCAATCAATGGACAACCCTGGTTTGATATAGAATCAAGTTTTCGATATACAGTGTAAGTCATAAATTTTTGGAATTGGTTTTTTTAATATAATTTTTTTAATAACTATTTAAATATTATGA